ATGTGTCATATTGTTAAAGGTTTATGTAAATATTTGTAAAGAACTTTCGGCACGAATTTGGACAGTTTTCGAACCCCAGTTGGTTTATAGTATGTTACATTACTACATTACATTACTATTTAAGTATGTTACATATGTTTGCGTTCAGTATTTGCTCATAAATGACGTATAACATGACGTTAATGTATTTCTGATATTTTGTTCCAAATAAAATATTTATACACGTTTCGGTAATTCCAGACAATCAAAATGTTCAAACTCCGCTATTTACATATACTCAAGTACATACATACGAGTACATATTTAACAGCTTTGCTTGCATTGTTTGCTACATGAATTTGAAAATCAAATAAATGTTAGGTACATCAAATAAAAACATTTGTCTTAAATTATTTATAGCCTCAAAGCTTATGCTACCACACATATGTATGTGTATGTAACTATTATTCGATAAATTTCTCGGTCAATGTTAACAGAATTTAAAGATTTTCGAAAAATTATTGAGAAAGGTTAAAATCTTATACAAAAGAATCCTTTACGAAATAATTTGCGTCAAATCATTAGTTTATGCTCAGAAAACAGCAGAATATTTGCGAAATTTAAAAAGAAGAAAAATAGATATTAGTTTACTTAGTACATTTTATAAAGGCAAACAATTATGTTTACTAATATATATTATTCAGCTTTTGTTCGACGCCGAAACTCACAAACTCTTATCAAATAATTTCTAAATTCTCTAAAAGAAGAATAAAGATTATATATTGTATAAATTTACAAAAATACGCCAATTAAGTTAATAGGGATAAGACTGCGGTTTCACAATGATTTGATGATATAATTTTTGTGATATATGTAAAAACTTAATATAATTTATTGACATTTTCGAAGAATTTCTATGCAAAACACCGCCGATATTAACGCCCCATATTCCAGGTCACAATCAGGCTCATAATTTTGCGTATATTCTAAAAGCCACAATTTTCATCTGAAGTCAAACGATATTGGAACTTCCTTTTATTATCTCTCTTTTATATAAATCTAACTGCTATCACAAACATAGAAAATTTAATTTATTACAGGTGTCAAAACAAAAAAGCATAACTTTTTCAACAATTTCACTATTTTTGTTTGTAACGTATTTAATAATCCCATTCATATAATTTTACTATTCAAAATAATCCAGCTTATGTTCAAGTCAATTTAATTATTTTTTGGTGAGTATAAGAATATTATTGTACTTAACCTAATTTAAAAAATTCAAGTTGAACGTAAAAATAAGTCTAAAAATCGATTTTAAAAATTTTTAATCAAGATTGCTTAGTGAACTGAATACTTACATACCATACATACACAATCACATTTTCCAAAACTTCTTATTTTCTAATGATATATTGTTTAAAATGTACTCATTAAAAGTTTCATCAAAACTCATAAATATCTTCGTCAAAGTATTTTGCGGTGACGCATATATGGTATGTACGTATTACATCGATTGGAATTGGAGACTCGATTCTGTTTGTTTAATTTACATTATTAAAAGCCCCAATATTGTTTCCTTATTTACTTGAAATTTTTTTGTAAAGGTGTCAAGATAAGTAGTCGCTTTCAAAAATGTAAGTTCACTCAGTTCACATTATTGTTTATAATTTCATTTCACAAATATTACACAATAATTAGTTGTACGATTTAATATAGAAATCACCGCATCACTATTTTCTAAGGAACATCTTACACGAACGACAATATGTGTCTTTGTTGTTTTTATGTTATGTGTTATCAGGGCATCCTAAGCCGATAAGGACGAAGAGGAGCTGAGAGCACTGAAGCTAACAACAATTCACATTCCACAATCCTGACTTTGCCACAGAGAACAAAAAGGGTAGCAGCCCTACTATTAGACTTGGAAAACTCTTGGGTCGTTCACTAAATTACAAGTATTTAGTTTTTTTAGTGCAATTTCAAATCGATTTTTTAATATGGAACGTGAACGGTCGCGTTAGACAAATTTAATCGTTCAGCAATCTCTCGAGTTGTTATTCGACGATTTGCATCGGCCGTATTTTATACACATCGGTTTCAAGAGGCCTTCCAGGTAGTGGTACATCCTCAAGATTGAATTTGCCGGAACGAAATTTTGCAAACCAATTTTGACATTGTACACATCACACAATTTTCGCCTTGCTTGAACTACATGTTTACCCTTACCGATAGTAAAACAGTAAATAATGCCGAAAATTCTGTTCCTTCTTCCATCTTCGATAGGGAACCAAACAAAAACTATTCCAAACAAGTATGGAAGTCGGGTGTATCCGAACATTTCATCCTCTTGCAACTTGCACGGATCTAAGCCAGCTAAATACTTTCAGGTGTTGGCAGTATTAAAAAATGTAGCAAAATCGTGAAGGGATTACAATCAACGGGGGTCCACATATTCGGTTTGTGTGGGCTTGAACAGTTATGAGCCGATTTTGACGATTTTTAGACTCGAGATGGCATACCACAAAGACACTATTTGTGTAAAGTTTTACCGAACATATTCATTGGTGCTTGATTTGTTTACTGGAAAGTGAAAAAATAATGGAACTTAAAGTTGTGTTATATGGGAAGTAGGAGTAGTTGTAGTCAGATTGCACACAATGTAACATAGGATCAACATGATAATGTTATATACCGAATTTGGTTGAAATTTTTTGATTATGGAGAATGTAGGTGGTGCCACGCCATGTAGTCAGATTGCGCACAATGTAACATAGGATCAACATGATAATATTATATACCGAATTTGATTGAAATTTTTTGATTATGGAGAATGTAGGTGGTGCCACGCCCATCTTTCAAATTTAACACCGCCTCCTAAGGCAGTGGTCCGACTTCGCCCATTTACGAACTCACCTTTTTGCCAAAGAACACGTGTACTAAGTTTCATTAAGATATCTTGATTTTTACCCAAGTTATCGATTTCACAAACGGACAGACAGACAGTCACTCGGATTTCAACTCGTCCCATCATCATTTATATATACAATACATTATTTTTTAGTGATACAAACAAGTAAAGTTAGGTAATCAAAACTATTATTCGCTGAAGCAACATGTTACAAGAATATAAAAATTTATTGGCTGCGAAAAAATTCAATAAGATCAGCTGTCATCAAACGAAATTACATAGTGAACGACCCAATATGCTAACGTCCCATTTTTTCAACAAAACCTAATTACTGAAACCATAAGCAAAATAAAAAAAATTAAAAATTACAACACCATATTGATCACCATTTTCAATATGAAACAATCTACATGAATCAGACATTAGAATATACAAACTTTATACGAAACAGGAAAACTGCAACAGTTGACAATGGATTTCTGGGCGTTTAATTTGAATATATTGGGCATCACTGAAAGCAAATAGACCTGCTTCGGTGAAGATGTTACGATTAGTGGTAAGAAACTTATTAACTCTGATCACACCAATTATCACATTGAAGGTGTTAGCTTGCTGTTAAGCAACCTGGGGACTAAAGGTCTGATTGAACGAAAGTAGTAGTAAAGCATGGAATTGGTTATATAAACCGAAATGGGTAATTACTACGCGATTTTTGCAATAACAACCAGCTATTGATTGGCAGTCCAGTCTTCAGAAATAAACTTCAATATAAACTACTTGGCGTTTCCCAAACCATCACACGGAAACCCAGATCGATTACTTCTGTATCAGCAGAACCTGGCGTCTGACTCTTAGATGTCCAATGTTGGTCCAGATCATTTTCTTGTTACTGCAAAAATTAGAACGGTAGAAGGTTAAACAACCTTTCTTGATTGTGCGAGGAGTTCCTAAAGCCACCATATATAAAAGTGCTAACCACCCTGTCAAAGCCAGATGGGTCAACCATTTTTTGGGAGCTTTTACCCAATAGTCACGAATCCGCCAATTCGACCACCTAACACCAGTAGCTGCTCTGCAATATCATCATCTTCCCTTGCCTGATTTGAATTAAACATTCCATTAAAGATTTAAAACCTGGAAAAGCTTCAGGAGGTGACATGATCCCTCCCGAAGTCTTCAAAGCAGTTGCTAGGTTGACGGCACGTTTTTTTGTCCCTCGTTTCGAAGCGAGATGGCGTAATAAAAAATTACCGATGAGTAAATGACATACATTTTGGTGAAGGTGCGGAAAAAGGCGACGTGACCTCCCTATTTGTAAATTTATAGAAGCATTACCCTAATGAGCAACACAACCAAACTGCTAAATATAATACAAAACCACCTCGAACAATCGCTGCGTAACCAACAAGCAGGTTTTCGCACTAACAGGACATGTGCTGACCACATTGTTACGCTGCATACATTTAATTCTTGAGCAAATCAACGAGTAGCATCTAACAAACACGGGTGGAACCGTGAAATCGCTACAAACATCTAGAAGAACCAGGTTACGAGGATGATATCGCTCTTTTATGTATCAAACGATCGGTCTTGCAGTCGAATTTAAACCAACTTAGCTCCGTTGCAGTTGAGGTCAGCTTTAAAATAAACGTGAGAAAAACTGAATTTGTATCACATATCGCGGATAGCGACTCTCCTGATTTCATTATATATGGGGAAGAGATTAACAGAAACACGGAATTGTGCTACTTTGGTAGTAAAATTACCACAACAGATGGGAATCCAAAACCAAAACCTGATTTATACCATATACTATAAAACGAAATAATCATATGGAATTCAAAATTGTGAATAAGCTTAGAATATCAGGATAATATTGTGCACCAAATTTGGTTGAAATTGGTGTAGTAGTTCCTGAGATATGAGATTTCACCTAAGGTGGCGAGGCCACGACCATAGTCCTATTTTTATATCGATCAATATGAAACCCTGCCATGCACCTTAGGATTGAAATTTAATGCTTCTGACATATTTATTTAGTGAATTATGACTCTTTTAATAGCTTTCAATTGTTCATGATAGTTCATGATAAGCCGCAAAGTTCAAAGGCATATTTTTTAGTCAAGTCAATCAAAATTTTATTTTCAATTAGTATTTTCTTTACAATTATTTATATGTAATACTTTGCTCCTTGATATACGTTACAATTAATTGTAATTCAGTTACATACATCCATATAGTACAATGTCTCTTTCGGTCCGATCGAAATGAAAATATTTACAATTTCTTAATACATAAGTCTAATTATATAGCAAAATTGAATCCAATGTATGAAAACCACAAAAATGTAGTATAAGATTTAGATGAATAAATTAAAGTATTTTATTCTTATAAATAGTGAGAGCTAAAAGCAAAACAGATGTGACGATTTATCGATTACAGGTAATATTTAAATCAGTAATAAAGCAGAAATCATATACCCAACCTTTACAATAAATTAATTTAAGCGGTGATTTGTTTCTATAACATATTTGCATTATCAATAATTTGAAATGTTTATGAATGATTGGCGAAATAGTTAATACTTCAGCCAGTTAGCCAAATATTTTCTACATATTTCAAAAATAAATGCAAATTTCTTTTTAAATTATTGTACTTTTGTTTATTTTTAAATTTGTCAACATACAAATCGAATTATTAATATTACATTTAATTTTTGCTATAACTTAAATCACATGATAACTTGGTAAAGGAATCTGTGTCTACTTCCAATACATTATATTGTTAATAAATACATTTTGGTGTATTACCCAGTGCGTCTATCTTTAATATATATCTATACATAAAAGAACTCTGGGGTCTCTCGAGGTATTGGTTCTTAATAAAAAAAATTTAACAAAGCGCATTCAACGCCAATTGTACTTTCTACATTAAAGACTACTAATATTTTTGCTTATAATTTAATACAGCACCGGCACCGGTCGCCTCAGCGCATTGTCCATCGCCGATGACACTGATGATTCCATGCCGTTAGGTGTGATTGTACCGGGTGAAGAGCCTGGTGATGATGTCGACGATGAATTATAGAGTCCCGCCGCTGCATTAGCCGAGTGGGCAGCATATAAAGAAGGCGCTGATATGCCTGAATAAATGCCGGAATAAAAACTGCTCAGTGTTGTAGGTGGTAACTGCGGAGCCTTTTGAGCTTCCAGCACATTGTGAGTTTGATTTGTAGCGGCTGCTGCGGCTGCGGCTTGTGTTTGATGCAATTTGGAAAGTGCCAAGGGATCAAACCCACCGAAATACGGCACTGGGTACGGTTGGTCAAGATGATGTGAAGGCGCAAAGTATGGTGGTAATTGATGAAAAGGATTATAGGCACTAGCACCAGCACCGCCTGCACCACCACCCAATTTCTGTTGACCTTGTACGGATTGCATTTGCAGTCCTTGTGGTCCACCAGCAAGTGGGTTCTTTGGCTTACGTCGTGGACGATATTTGTAATCGGGGTGCTCTTTCATGTGTAGTGCACGTAAACGCTTGGCCTCGTCGATGAAGGGACGTTTCTCAGATTCAGCTAGCAGTTTCCATTCGGCACCAAGACGTTTAGAAATTTCTGAGTTGTGCATCTTTGGATTGTCTTTTGCAATTTGACGACGCTGTAGACGAGACCATACCATAAAAGCATTCATTGGTCGTTTAATGTGACCTTCCTGACCCGGCGACGTAGGATGATGGTGCATACTCCCACCACCATTATTACCGCTGCCATTGAGCCCTTGGCCATGGCCTAAAGCCCCAATTGAACTTTGACTTCCAATACTGCCAGCAGACCCGATTGAGGAGTTGGGCGATAGTGTCTGATGTCCGACGGCAGTTTGTATATGATTGCCACCAGCTAAGTGATGTAAGCCACTGTTCATATTACCACCAAGACCGCTGCTGCCGCAACCCATATGACCCATACTGGCTGTACCCATGATGGAGTTACCATTGCTGGCTGCATGACCGCCTACTGGAGAGCCACCCATCGCTGCAGAAATGGCCGCCAAGCCACCAGTTTGTGAAAAATGCATTACACGCTTTATGTCCATATCGGTGGGACTGAGATTATTTTGTGGCGCATAATCGCCTGGAGTGGGTATATCTAAGCCCTGGCTTATATGGAATCCATAATTTGGATGTGAAGACAAAGTCGTCATTCTGATGTTTATGTGTTTGTATTTAACTTTACACTTTCACGAAACTATATGTTCTAATTTTTTTTTCACTATTCTTCTTGATTATGTGAAAATACTACAATTTGAAATAAATTTAACACTATTACTTTTTATTGCTTTTCACGTGTGTTTATCTGATGTTATTTTTATTTCTTCTTTACTATGAAATATTCATATCATTCCTTATTTTCTTTCCTTTACTACTTTCGGTGCAATTGTTTCTACTTCTATTCACTTCAACTGCTTCGTACAGACTGATTTCTTTGCACAACAATCTCCGACCATCCACAACTTTAAAGTACACAAGTTATAAATATCCAGTTTTCACTTCATTCGCACAATTCCGCCCCGAATAAAACAATACCAATTTAAATAAGGTACGAACACAACAATTGTACGTCTCTCACTAGCTCTCTCTTTCGCCTTTTATTCAAGTGTTTTCGGTTTATTATATGTTCTTAGACCGTTTACAGCGCTATTGTACAACGACTGTTATGTTGTGTTCACGTCGAATGCTCAGCTACGTTTGCTTGTGTAGACAAAGTTGTCCGGCTACTATATACAAACGATGTTAGGCAAATTGATTTTTCTCGCTTAGTGTTAAACACTCGTCAGTGTTCCGCTAAGGATACTTACACACGCTCGTGAATGCCGTGAACACACATTCTACTCGGCATGCACAGGTGAGAGAGCCAACCACTTTAGTTATCTCGCTTCTACACGTACAGCACAAAGCGAACTACGCCGCAATAAAAGAAGAGCGTTAACGCAAATTCGTTTGTAAGAGTGAAAGGAAAGTTTGGGGAACAGAGCAGGGTAGAGCCAATGGAAATTGTTTCAGGTTGGCGGACATTAATTATCGGACAAAGCAAGACAACAATATTCGCGGGCAATGCAATAAAACTATTGTATCGCATTGCTGGAGGCTAGTGTGGCAGTTATATTTATGCTGGTTGTTCTTGTTAGTGTTAATGTTGGGGATGGTTGTAGTTATTCATGCGCCAACTCTGCCTTTGTTATTTGCCAATGAACAAAAGCTGCGCACAACACTGCTTTATTGCATTTTGTACGCTCTATTCTGTGCTATGTGACAGCCTGGCGGTAGTCCACTGAGAAGCATAGATGTCACTGTACCTTTGTTGCAATATATTTGGCTTGTTGTTGCTTTGTTACTGGTACGCACGTTTTGTACTGCCAATTGTGATAAACACTCACCTTCCCCTGTCTCTGAGCTGCTTGGTTGCGCCCTTGGTGAGAATACGGGAGAGTGGCTTTTAGGGCATAATGTCAATACAAACGGTACATTAAGAGAAAGGCGTAAAGGACAGAAGCGTTCATAGAATGAACGTTTGTTACGTACATAACATGCACGAGAAGACCCTTTTATGACTTACTTGATTCTTATTATCAAAGTCCATTATATGCTTTTATGTTAATTATTTATATATTGTCTCCGGTTTGCACACTTTGATTATTATTATATTAATTTTTTTTTTTTTAAATTATATTAGGCACAATACTCTTACTAAGAAATGTGTTAAAATGAGGGTAAAATATCGTCATAAATGCATATATATACATACATATGTATGTGTGTAGTTAGAATGTAAGTACTTCAACTTAGCGCTTTTAAAGAAACGTGTGTGTATTGTCATTTCAAATTACTGAAAAAATTTGTCTGTGTGTACAGCTGTTATCAAAATAATAATAATCAATTTGGCTGCATGGATAATGCAGTTAAAAATAATGGTAATATGACTTAATTGTTGCGAATCAGTTGTTTTATCTTACATAATTAAAAATTAGTAAAACATAAACAAACAAGTAAGGAACGGCTAAGTTCTGGTGTAACCGAATATTTTATACTCTTGCAACTTTCAAGGATGAAAGCCGAGAACTTTCTTTCATGCGTTCGCGAAACTCTATATTAACACTAAGGGGAGCTAAGTGAAGTATTAATCGATTCTACCCATATTTGACATACGAGCATTGCATTATCAGGAAAGGATTTTTTCCGAGCTTTAATCTCACAGATTGACCGATATTTTCGATAACATGTTTGTTGTAGGAACTGGGGCCCACATATTCGGTATTTGGAAGCTTGAAAAGTTGTTGTCCGATTTTGACAATTTTTGGTCATAAGGTGGCCTAATTTAAGCGCACTATTTGGTCAAAGTTTTATCTTTATAAATTCATTGGTTCTTGATTTGCATACTGAAAAGTGAAAGAATCAGAAACAGAAAGAATTTTAAATTTCGTTAACGGTTTTGTTGAAAATTACTAAAAGAGCTAAAGCTTACTCAAGCCACAAGAATAAAATTTCACAGCCAGGATGGCAAGGCAGGGGCCGGTGTAAAAATTGGACAATAGGCGTGGCACCTCCTATAATCCTATACACACTTAAACAATTTAAACCAAATTTGGTGTGGGAGGTCATGCTATTGTTACTACTGCACACTATGTAAACGGAATCGGTTAACAACCACGCTTACTTCCCATATAACAAAATACTTACTTCCCATATAACAAAATAAGAATTAAATTCTATCTGTTTCTATTACTCTACAATAACCAAAACAAACATCAATAAAGTTATTAGAGTAAAATTTTGTACAAATAGTGTCCTCAATCTAACGCCCAAAAATTGTCGAAATCGGACTATAACTTTTCAAGGACCCAGACACCAATGCACATGGCTGATTTTTTACCAAACATATCGGTCAGTCTTTGAGTTTGAGTATTGCAATACGGCATGGCCTTTTGCCGAAAATGGGTAAAATCTGATCAATACTTCCCTTAACTCTAAATGCCTAATATAAATATTTTCGTACTTCCGATTGACTTTATACCGCATCTATCGGTCAATGTGTAAGAAATCTTAATGAAATTCCGAAAGAATGTCTTTCTAATAATAGTGTTTCTTCTTGCCTGTAATTGTAAATAATCCTACTTTTAAAACTTAAATCTCGTATATCACTTAGCCTTGCGACAGTATAAAATGTTCGGTTATACCCGAACTTAGAACTTCCTTACTTGTTATCATTGGTTATTACCCGGTAGATACATATTATATACATATATATGTATATATGTACATATGTATGTAGAATACCAATGCAATCGTTTGTGAAGACACATATCCATAACGTTCATAAAAAATAATTTTAATATCTTTTTAAAACGTTGAACATCTGTGTATGACTATATGTACATATGAATATTTACGTTCGTGTATATATGATAGCTTGATTTACTTATGTATGATAACAATATAAGTAGCCTTAATATTATATATTATTATTTACTTAAAATGTCAAAAAAACAGAGAGATCGGCAGAAAATTTTAATAGGTAAAAATGTATCGTCAAAATCAATTTTGAAATGCCTGTATATACGCATACATATTCAAATTGTTACTTAAAAATCTTAAACGAAAATAAATATAATTTAAATCATGTTAAGTGTCACCTGTCGATCTTATGTACACCTTTGCCTTGTAATAAAATCAAAAAATAGTATCTACATATGAACACATATTTAATGTTGATATTTTTCTATACATTTCCATCAAATTCGTTTATAAATAATAACATACATAGATACTTATTGTTTATATTATATAATATTATTATAGCCGAAAGTCAATGCTCAATTTAAAAGCAAATATTGTTAGATAACATGTACTTAAGAAGTGAGGGAAATTAACACTTTCCATTGTGGTAGTGCCAACAACACATTTACCGACCTTTGGTTCCTCTTTGCAATCTTATTTGTCTCCCTCTTCACACTAGAGTTTCTTTATAATCATTAATTCTATCACATATTCAATAATTCTTCCATACAGCATTCATTAATCATTGTTTTTTATTTCTGTCTTCTTGTATTTGTCAGTATGCGATTTAATGTCTAGTTTCTAAAGTGGCGCAACTATATGCAGATTTTTTCATCAGCTCGCTTAGAAATGAATACACGCGGCTATAACTCTCATTCCTATCGGCCGCCAATGAGTTCTTCTCTCAGTTCACTTACTCTGCCTGCCTTTGATAGACTGTCCGACAGTTGCTTCTTTTGGTTTCTCATTAGCCCAGCCACCACTGTTACCTTTGTTGCTTTATTCATTATCTTTTTTTTTTCTCACCGCTGCTCAACAGCGTCGTCGTTCCTGCTCAATTGTGTATGTGATTCTATCGTGGATGTTGTTGTTCACCCGACTGCATTCATCCTCTATCAAGCTTACGTGTAAGTATATATGCGCTATAGTATGCGTTAAACATCTCGACTGCAGCCACTCTTTAACCAATCACAAAGACTTAACGGTGTCAATGTTCATTGTTGCTTTTGCCCACTGCCATTGTGTATGTGTGTGATAATTGGGCCGTGATACAGACATTCATCCATTCATTTTCCTACATTCATTGCATTCATTTGTATTCACTTATAGTCATTCTGATATTATATGCCAAGCACCCCCAAGCACATACTTATATGTACATGTACGCACAGTTTCGGTTGATTTGCGGACAAATATTGCGATTGAAAGTGTGAATAATTATTATATATGGTACATCTCTGTATGGATGTAATACCTATGTTTCTATGTAAGTTTGTTGTAATAATGTAATATAATTGTTGCGTATGAAACCAATTTTTCTCATTTTATCATTTAATATGTGTTCATTGTACATACCCAAATTAAAAGTTCAATGACATAAAAGTTTTGCCAATAATTCCGGAAATCTAACGTAAACTATGCATTACTTTTATATAAGTACATGCATACCTTATAATAATTTATATATTACTAGTTAGTTAAGCGATTCGCTAGCATTCAAAATAAACAAATCAATACCGCTGGCAGCATTAACCTCAGAACTACTACTCAGACCGTCAGAACATAGCCATGCAGTGAAGTGTTGTTAAACTCGGAATATTTGACAATATATTAGGTAAAGTAAAAAGTTCGTTCGGTTTTTATCTAAGAGATGGCGTTATTGTCCATAGTACTAGTGTTACGTGTCGCATCATGTCATACTATATATACGGCGCTGAAAACGTGTTTATTCGCGCTAAAAGTTTGTCTTTGACAGTTTTTCGATTGATATACTCAGTTCGTTGTGAGCGCTCGTCAAAGATGGACACCAACAAAGAGAAAATTCGCTATATTTTACAATTCAACAATATTCAACAATTTCGATCAAAGCGAAAAAGCAGCAAAAGGGGCTGAAAACATTAATTTAGTTTATGGGCCCGATACTGTAAACGAACGTGTAGCACAAAAGTGATTTGCCAGGTTCCGTTCCGCTAATTTCGTTGTCAAACATGCACCACGCGTCGGGAGGCCTGTCGCCGAAAATTGCGATAAAATCATGGAAATAGTGGAAACAGACCGTCACGTGAGCACTTATTTAATTGCTGAAGAACTAAAGATAAGCCGTTTGGAACCATATGCATAACCTTGGATTCAGAAAGGAGCTCGATGTTTGGGTGTCACACGAACTAACGCAAAAAACATGATGGACCGAATTTCCATCTGCAAATCGCTGCAGAATCGCAACAAAATCGACCCGTTTCTGAAGCGGATTGTGACTGGCGATGAAAAATGGATCACTTATGACAACATCGAGCGCAAACGGTCGTAGTCGAAGCTCGGGGAAGCGGCCCAGATGGTGGCCAAGACCTGATTGACGGCCAGGAAGGTTTTGCTGTGTGTTTGGTGGGATGGGCAAGGAATCATCTACTGCGAGCTGCTCCCCTATGGCCAAACGCTCAATTCGGCCCTCTACTGCCAACAACTGGACCGCTTGAAGGCAGCACTCATCCAGAAGAGGCCATCTTTGATCAACAGAGGCCGAATTGTGTTCCATCAGGACAACGCCAGGCCACACACGTCTTTGGTGACTCGCCAGAAGCTCCTGGAGCTCGGATGGGAGGTTCTAATGCACCCACCTTATAGTCCGGACCTGACACCAAGTGATTACCATCTTTTCCTGTCCATGGCAAACGCGCTTAATGGTGAGAAGTTGGCCTCAAGAGAGGCCTGTGAAAATTGGCTCTCCGAGTTTTTTGGCAATAGGAACGCAGTCTTCTACGAGAGAGTATAATGAAGTTGGCATCTCGTTGGTAACAAGTTTACGAACAAAACTTAAATCGGATAAATGTACACTAAGTTATCAATAAAAAACCGAACGAACTTTTTACTTTACCTAATATATACCCAAGTTACACGTTGGAAAATATGGCATCTCCTAAATATACCTATGTAAGTGTGCCTCTTCGATAGAAAACCCGTTTGGTTTCAGGTGGGCCATGAATGGCAAAGCCCACACTGGAATTATACACCCCCAAGGGCTGACCGCTAGTATCGGCCTGACAGATAACATAACTTGGTAATCCATGTTAACTCTCATGTCAGATTATCTGCCCATAATTTTCCCTATTGATATATCCAGCGATTCCTTTTACGTTAATTAAAAGATCTAACTTGTTCAGCAGATCTAACGTTTTCAGCAAAGGGTCAGACTTAAATTATCTTGAATCTGGTTGTTCAAAGCCTAACAATAAGTAGTAAAATCTTAAAAATCTAATTAAAACTAAACAAGCTCAAGAACTGTCACAAGGCATTAGCTTATGGATTTGGATGGTTACGGAGCTTAAGTTCATAGTTGTTTCTGCTGTCCTCCACTTATTTCTTTACCATAGGAAAAATAAGATCTTTGTGAATGTTTT